GAGGAAAGGGCTTCACTTTAACGAACCAGTTATCTCTACATGTGGCATTTTGTAACATCACACAGTGATATGTAGGTAGATATAACACTAATCTATGGATATAAACACATTTCAAGATACATGTGTGAGGTTAAAGGTGTTTTTGAGAGCCCGGGCCAAGTCGGGCTGAACAGAGACTAAACACTTTTGATTGAGACTATATTGTGAATGGAGAGAGGAAAGGGCTTCACTTTAACGAACCAGTTATCTTTACATGTGGCATTTTGTCACATCACACGGTGATATTGAGGTAGATATAATACTAATCTATGGATTTAAACACAAATCAGGATACATGTGTGAAGTGTAAGTTGTTTTTGAAAGCCCGAGCCAAGGCGGACCGAAAGCATGACTGTGATACTGTGTGGTTGTTGAGAATGTATAGAAAATAGGGCTTCACTTTAAGCAACGTATTTGCTTCAAATACAACGCTTTGACAACGGATTTTGTTTTCCGAGGACTTTATTTTCCTAAATCGTTGGGAATGGAGAGAGAAAAGGGGTTCACTTTTACTTTACTTTATGAAGTGGTATTTAGGTAGATATAATCCCATTTTGTGTTTCATGTGTATTAGTAAATATAAGCATATGCATACGCGCTGGCTATCTAATTAGGGCTGGTATTGTTTACAATGAAAACACATAACAATGTTTGTGTATGTGAATGCATACTTTGTTTTATCATTTGTAACATATTACAAAATTTTGTGATTTCAAATATTTCTTTTAATATTCATAATCATGTCGTATTTGCCCATTGACACTCGCCGATATCCACATCTCTTTAACATAAACATCCTGTGCTGATTCAGCCTGAGACAATAAAGGTTAATTAGGGAACCCCAATATCTTAATTAAGGACAGAAAAGCAGTCAAAACACTGTCACTTCCTGCCCAGGACCCCAGGATGTCACACGCTAAGAGAAGTAAGCAACCTTCCCCCATAGAAATATCAAGGAAAACACATAACAACAAGGCGGTGTCTTTTCTACGGGAATCTCGGTATGTAGTCATTGTTTTTGGGTGTGTTTTTTTTCAAATTTAACTATACATTTTCAATCAAACTATGCATTTGTGAAGGCAGGAAGTGTATCCACCCAAATGTGCAGGTTTCGTTTTAATATTCTTCAATCCATTTTTAGTATTACCCGGTGGCCCGGCCCGACTTTTAGGCCATCCCGAAATTGAACATTAAATCACTGTGTGGTAAATCACGCACAGTTTTAGAAAGAAAAGGACAGGTAAATCGGAACACATTTCTGGAAAATCCTTGGATATAATTGTTTTTGTTTTTTCGGGGTTATTTTATAAAAAGTTATACAAAATCCATGACAAGACAATTCTTAATATATATGTGTGTGCATGTACTGTTAATGAAATATATTAGCCACTTTTTTAAAGTTATATATAGTAATTTCGTCATATAATAGTTAATACAATCAGAGACCATATAATAGAGGGACGGCCCTCTAGCCAGTGCGCAAACCATCAGCGCTACGGCTTGTACTGCGCAGCCTATCCGGAAGCTGGCAAAAACGTGTGTTGACTTCAGTCATTGATTTCGCGTATTTTCATTGCAAAGGTAAGATTTGATTTTTTTCATGTATTCTCATGCCTATACTTACATTTGCAACAGTGCATTACAGGTGTATTAGTGGTGCTAAAGCATATATTTGTCTTTGTATTTGATGAAAACTGTCATGTGTGCTCGTCGTTCTGTGAGAACAATGGCGGAGGTGTAAATCGGCAAAAGTCCCGATTTTGATTTTCAATAACGGATACTAATTCCCAATGCAAATCCTTAGTTACCGGGTGTAATGAAAGAAAATAAGATAAAGATTTGTATAGGGGCATTTATCAGTCTGTATGCGTTCGCGTCATTCCTTATTTTGGCTCGTGCAATGCGATAAAATATGATGTTTTCCTCAAATATTTTACTCCACAACACTTGATTTTCGCGCTTTTTCACAAGAACAGCTTATTACTAGCATGTTTTAAATAAACATGTGAACATTCATTCGCGATTTCCTCTTTGGTGGTGGTACACTTTTTTTTATGGCTACGATCGGTATTTTATTTTTATGATTTTGGCGTAGAAACCCATATTTGCGTCAGATACTGAACATTTCAATTATCATGTAGCAGACGACATAACATTCATTTTGTTCATTAATATAACGTGAATATATATTTAAATCATTCTACAAAAGTCTCATTCACCTAATCGTTTGAAAAAAAAGTACATATTTCCATTATTGTTCATTTTGATGATTATATTTGTGGAAAAGGTCCTTATTTATCATGCAACAATTCAAATATTTTTCTGTTATCATTATTCTTCCTAATGAAGTTTGATTATGAGTTTACCTGGGCTTACACAGTACCTACAACCTGTCTTATGCAACAACAAAAATGAAAAATGAACTCATTATTCAACATTATATTTATATCATAAAATTATCATTTGTTTTGTAGATGCCCAGGAAAAAGAAAGTTTTCATCGGAAGGGCTACTCAAAGAGCCTACTATTAAGTACAATATTCCCATCTTGATTAAGTAGATATACCTTGTTTGAAAGAGCATTGGCAACCAACTATTGCATAATTTTAATTTCAAATTCAGTTTAGAGTTTATTTGCAACAGTTGAAATTCACATTTACTGTGTTTTTAATGAAAGAATATCTAAATGGTTGAATTTAGTAATACATCATTGTACATATAGATCTATGGTCCTATTCTACAATAAATACATTGTACATATAAGAACGTGTGATGTTGTGTTTTAATGTTATTGGTTGCATTTTCCTGCCAAGTTAAAGTTGACACTTTGCTGAAATTTTTTAATTGATAGGGTAATGTAGTACAGCCCATTTAACACATATATTTCATTGGCTCGGAGGCAAGTGACTTTAGTATTTAGTGGCTTCCCTTGAAAAAAACCAACAAGTGTCTCCAAACGGCCCAAAGCATAATCACTGCTAGCCCCAAACTGGCATTATAAAAACATTAACGCTCTTGGAAAATGTGAAATCGTGTTTCGTTGGGACTATAAACTTTATAATAAACACCAGTCAGTCACAGGCCCTCGTGTCTTTCCGAGGATTCATGATTTTAATAATATTGTTTTGAGATGACACCCAATTCGAAATGCTTCACAGTACAATACATAATGACAAGGCGGACACTTCTAGGGTGCACCCTACCGACTCGCGATGCCGATCGCTATGCTACCATCGCGATGCAATCGATTAAAACTTTATGTAAACATAATCATGGATGATTGGCCTATCGAGCAACACTCATGACACCTACCAATTCTTTATTGTTATTTCTGCAAGTCGATTGAAAACCAATTTTGACTCAACTAAACGATCTTGACACAAATGGATGACGATATGTCCGCGACACAAAGGGGTGTGGTCGAAGCAAATCCTCTGATTGGCTAACGCTTTGCAAATCTGCACATTCTTTATAAATTCGCGGGAATTTTACTTTCATCGACTGCTTGACCACACCCTCGCTTTTGTGCCAACGAATACTTGCAAGTAAATCTTGAGATTAGCCATGTGATGATCACGCTTAGGGAGCATCGGGATATTGGCAACTGTAATGTTAAAACTGCCTTTACCTGACTGGGTTAGTTTGATTTTTGTATTTTGAGTTTATATTCTCTGTCCTGTAAAGTAGTCTGTGAATTCTCCAAGTAAGTATCGAGGTCCAAGTTGGAATCATCCCAGTGAATGAATTAAGTTAAGCCCATGGCCATGCCGAATGTTGAAACAAATATTCCAGGCTTATGACGACACGCATTTCGCGAATGATACATGTTCTGCGATGTTGTCAGTTGACATGTGCAAATGAGAGATAAGATAAAAATTAAGATTATTGTAATCAGTTTAATGGAGCTGTCCATGTAATGCTTAACTGCCAAACGCAGCCGGTGAAATCCCGCTAAGGGAATTCACTCTCGGCCCGGATATTACGCAATATTGTTTACGTGGTTACCAGAGTGCTCATTTGCGAATGTCTGCGCATTTGTTGCGCATGTGTACCGGAAGAGGGAAGTTAGCAGCAGGGTGTCGATGTGTATCAGTTACATGCCAGGCCGTAGCGCTGATGGTTAGTGATAAACTGTTGGGGAGGGCCGTCCCTCTATTATATGGTCTCTGATACAATTTACTGACCTGTGTTTACAAATTACAATATTGTATATTACACATCATAGGAGATCACGTACCTGTTGAAGTTCTGCCTATGTTTCATCTCCTAACAAATGTCAAAAGTGTACTAAAAGTGTCAATTTCTGGTGTGAGTTAACAAGATTCTGTTCTGTGAATATCAGCGTCGTGTTGTTGTCTGTTATCAGAAAATTGAATGGCGCTTGCTTAGTTCAGTGCACGAAAACAGCAAGCCAATGAAACGGGCGAAAACATGTGACATCATTCTAAAGTGTCACTCTGAACTTGAGATGCGACCGATACTGACTTTCGTTTCACAGTCTTTAATATGAAACATCTGATAATCTGAGAATATGTCATTGTCGTGGATCTTTAAAAAATGAGAAGATATGCTATACAATGTAAAATCTCATTTTACTCGGGATCATTGCTTTTGTTTTCACCCCTAATATATTTCGATTTGATTTCTTCTAGACACTAGCATTGGGGACAAAATCCAATTTCCTATTTTGTCCAAAACTGTATGAGGGAATCCGGTGATGCATGTGTTGTGGCTGAATGTTAATATACATGATGAAATAGGCGTATCATGAACGGCCTTCGCGGAACGTGATTTTGTATACACAATCCAATATGGCGCAACACTTTCGCGTTCATGTTCGGGTTTTTCCTCAAACATCCCAACCGACTAGTTCTATTGTAGACGTTTGAGAAGTATCATAAGTCATCTATTTGCCGGTTTCGTCGGTTATAAAATGAAAACAGATAGTGTAAGTCTGCTTACCAAAGTTTCACTTCAACATCGACAGTTTCAGTTCAGGTCAGTAACGTCCCGACAATATGACTGTGGTAATATCACGTGATTCAAGCCTGTCCTTTCATTGCGCGTTTCTCCCGGCTTAGTGCAGCTAATGTATTTATAGCCTGCCTTGCGACTGACGGGTAGTTCAGTGTATAACATAACAATGAACACTCGCTACGCAATAACTATAGGCTTACTTCCGCTACTAGATTTCCGGTGACAAGCGAATACCCAAGAACCAGTTCTGGTGCCAAATTGCGCGACCGCCAAATATCACCTTACTAGATCGGACCAAGTGTACTACCATGCTTGACTGTCACAGCTGGTGACAGTCGGAATAATTGGATCAGTTGGGGACGATAAGATCGAAAAATTATTATTCCTTCAAGGATTATCGGTTCCTTACTGACAACCGACAACCATGAGTCAATTCGAAAACATATGAGTACCTTTCTTTAGCTATAATATATTTTTGACAACCAGTGCAGTTCTATCGCTAAACGTGTTTCTTCTCAGTATCGCGGACAGTGTTTGTCACAAAACATATTTCGGGAATCAATGACATGGTTAACGTAAAATGCATTTGAGTAATCTGTATTTATATTGAATTAATAAACTATTAATTAATATACTGCTATTCATAAAACAGCCATGTGTTACCAACTTTATCAAGTTGATGTTCTGTTCATATTTGGCCACATTGACTCTGTCATTTCCCTTTTCAATTAAAGTATGTAATTCCAAATTAGAATATTTGTGTTTGTTTAATTTGTTATTTATTTTCTAAATACATTTGTTATGCTGCAGCAATATTTTGTAACTATTCCAAATTAAAAAAACTATTTTTTTACATATTCAATATATTTATATTTCTTAGGAACTATTTGAGATCAAATAGTTTCTAACAAATATCAATATTGATATGTAAAAAATAGTTTTTTTAATTTGGAATAGTTACAAAATATTCAATAGAGACAATTGGCTTCATGCAATGTAAAATGCATGTGTATAAATACTTGAGGTACTAATATAAATACTTTGTAAACTAGTTGGTAGGCTTAATAATTTTACTCACTTCCAAGTCCAAGGGATGACTGTATGCAAGTTCAGGTGACAGAATGATTCAAAGATACAAGAAATAAATTGTTTGTTGTTTTGCAAATTTGAAAGAAAATGCATTATAAATTTTACTTTGGATAGATGACAGGGATCTGCATGTGTCAAATTGTTTCTTTGCCATGCTGTAAATATACTGATAATGATATATTGAATACAGGGATTGGGATGGAGACCTTCGACAATTTCAGGATTATTAGCCATTTTCTGAATTTAGAATGATCTGTATCAATAGTAAACTTCAAAATTTTAATGGGGCATTTTTTATTCTAATGTGCAAAATGGCCCCTGTCTTTCCCAATGCCTGGAATAAATAGCAGTTCTTGTAACATTATATATTTTTTTATAAATATATGAACTTTCCCATTTATGGTGACATTTTTATTCACACAAGAAGTCATAGTGTCACAAATCAATCAACAGCTGGACAAAATAACCTTGATGGCATGGTTACAATTATTTCGGTTACTACTGTCAGATATTCAAAACAAAAATGTGAAAACCCTCAGCCATATGAATATTCATCATGAAACAATTATTTATCAAATTATGTAAACATTATTTTAGAGGTGATATATAAAACCTGGTTGTTGGACAATATTTATTACACTTTGTACTAGATGTCTAGGAGTAAGTGAACTATGTACTATGATCTAAAAGTACATGAGTGTTACTTAGTTCTTGGTTATGCAGGGGTGAGGTTCTGCTATGCTGTAAGCAAAATATGAAGCAGCACACAGCACCTTCAAGTCACAATTGGCAAAAAATGCAAGATCAAATACACTCAAAATATGGAGTAATCACTCCAAGACATTTCCTGTATTGTAAAATATACTGATCAACACATGGGGAAACTAAATGTGCATATATACTATGTCATGACAGTAGATTCTGCAGACACTGGCTGATAGCAGCATGAGTATGATTACTTGTCATGTAATATAGTGTTTTTCACCCATTTTTAGTAACTTATATATTCCAAATATTCTGCCAATGAGGCCAAGGTTGGTAACTGGCATTCCATATTTTCCACTATACAGTTAGACCAATATGTTTTAAATAATGGAAAAGAATAATGTGTACTGGTTATTGTGCTATGAACCAGTGTTGTAATCTTACAGCAAATAAAAAACAAAGAATTTCATATTTCAGCAAAATTCCATGTAATGTAGAATCACATGCCTATGCCATTGCTTAAGTTTAACTTTTCATTGGTAAGCATGTTATTTCATGGAAACTGGAGTAGTAGGGTAACCTAGTGGTTAAACTGTTGACACTTGTCACACTGAAGGCCCGGGTGTGATTCCCCACATGTGTGCAAAGTGTGAAGCCCATTGCTGCTCTCCCCAGCATGATGTTGCTGGAATATTGCTAAAAGCGGTGTAAAACCCAACTCTCTCACTTGGAAACCTTTGCTATATACACTGAAAATCTAATCTCTACATCCATTGTTGTAAAATTACTGTCAAATCAATATCATGGCTAAAAGCAGAAATCTTCCAAACCATTCAATTTGTGCTTGCTTTATCCACACTTAAAACACAATAAACAAGTTTTAGATCTATTCTGCAATTTTATTCCAAAGACATAATTACTCATAACATATCAAACATTCTTTGCATTTCCCAGATGCTAAACCTGAAAAAATACTGTAACAGTATCATCTGGAATACAAATGTTCTTTCATGGTCACTCATCTAAATTCTCACTGAATTATCTGAGAGTCCCAAGATGTCACAAGACTTTCCACAACACCCTGCTGGTTACAAGCATTTCCTGTTCCAGCAAGTGTCCAAAGGATGATGTGTAGGGCTTTAATATGTTTTATAACTGTATATACAACACTTCAATGACTTGCTGTTTCTTCATTTGCAATGTATATTGCTTGACCACCAGATGTTAAAAGAAATCTGAAGATCTGTTTCAGTTTGTGTTGCTCTTGATGTCAATGGTAATTGTGGTGATAAAGAAATCTATTCCTCCTTCCTCTTCTTAAAGAAGTGCATCTGTTCCAACTGAAAAAAATACATAACGCACATTAAGTTATCTTCTGGATAATTCCAACTGCAAGATACTTTATTTATTAACACAGTTTTTGGGTACACATGAATGCATTATACCGGATACCTGCCTGCCACTGTAAGATATCAAATGCAATCAAACGATTCACCAATCTGCACACATGTCAACTCCACCCTTACTGTGCGTGCCATGCTTAAACAATACCAGCCTTTAAATGAAAACAAAGAAATCCATGTAACAAACTTACCTCGACTAATGAATGGGCCAGCCTGAAGACGAAGCTGTGACAACTCTGCATCTGTTTGGCAAATATTCACGTGCTGTTCATGCAACATTGCCTTAGTGCTTTAGCAGTCCATAGTCTGTTAAATGGCATAGGTTTCTGATTCACACAGCCAGTGTCGAGTATGATTATCCACGGCATACACCATGTAAGAGTGTTATCGCCATTGCCGAAAAACGTTGTTTGTCACCGGAAGTACTAAACAACGTAGATCTAATCTCTCGCGAAGTGCCGTGACCTACTTACGGGCCCTATAACTATAGGTTTGTTTTTCGGTGTAAATGTGCTGAAGACATTTGCAAATCCCATTTGAAAATGATAATGTCGAAAACCTCCTAGCGGGGATCAGATTGGAAATAGGGCGGCCACTCCAATTTTATTCTTCTCTCCTGCTGCGTCACTGCAGTTTGTCCTTGTTAAAAGTATTAAATTGCTATCACATTTCCAACTGTATTCTTAATGAAATGTTTGAGTAAATTTCCCTTTCCCCGTACGGAACCTGCAGCCAGAGATCTCGCTATTGAAAACTTATTAAAAGCTGGTGAATGAATCTGCTATATCGCTATTTTTCTGGATATAGATGGCAACAGGCGTGCGTAAAGTCAATGCTCACGGTAAGATGAGTGCGATATGCACATGCTCCTAGAGTGTTTTACTGCTATAATTATTTAATCACCTCACAGGTGGACGCCATGGGTGTTGATATTTGTGGGCCCACTTTCTTAAACTTTTGCTGGCTTTGGTGTTGATAATTATTCTCTAAATGTGTGCCATGTTCTAGTACAGCCACGCTATCGCAAGCGTCAAGATGGCGTTGCTCGGTCCTTTTAGTACCGCCCACTACCCGTAACGATCCGGGTTAGAGTTGGCCTTCAGCAGTCCATGCTTGTTGTGTGAAGAGGCACGCTGACTTGATTGACACATGTCACCGTATCCCGTATCGTTGCTCATGCTGGTGAATACTGGTTTATCTTGTCCATATACTGGAATATTGCGGCGTTAAACAACTTACAAAGCAAGCATATGGCCGTCTATCCAAGGCTTGTGGTTTTGACCTCGAGGTCAATTCATGTTTCATCCCTGAATATGTAGAGGGCGCCATGGAAAAATGACGAGTGGAGAATGTTTTCGAATAGTCCCAATTACATCCTCATCAACAAACCTGATCTTGTCCTTATTGATACAACGAATGAAATCATTATTATTATGTTTTACAGATTATAGATGAAAATGCAGCAGAGAGGGTTCGGGTGATCCTGGCACAGTCAGGCTGGTAAGGCTCATCATCAGCTCAGGGCCCTCGCCCCCTCTACACGCAGCCCAGACAGCGAATGGGACTTCTCCCAGGAAACACTGCTTAGTCGAACCCACCAAGAAATTTCCGGAGAATATGGAGGCTCCCCAACACTGCAGCCTTCTGCATTACCCAGAGTGTCAGAAGAGCTGTGCTCCCGGTGGAGAACCCGGACACTCTCCTGATCTGCGCCAAGAGATCAGGAGGTACCAAACCAAGGGCACCGAGAACAATGGGGAGCCTGACGACAGTGTACGTGGGATGCAAGAGAGACATTTCAAAGGCGAGGTCCGCATATTTATCATGCTTTTCCTGAATCTTGCCAATCATAATTATTATTATTATCATTATTATTAACTTTCTGTAGATTCTGACTGCAGTGTGATTGTCAAGATTCAGGAAAAACAGGACAAATATATAGACCTCGACCATCCCAAGTACACTCTCGTCAGACCCCACATTTGTTCTTTGTGCCCTCGGTTTGGTACATCCTGATCTCTTAACGCAGATCTGGTGTGTACCTAGTTTTTCCCACATGTCGACCCAATCTGTTATGTTGCACTTTTTTATATGAATTAGTAAAATCTGTAAAATAAAATACGTACTAAGGAAGTACATTTCACCGAAACTGTAGAACTGTGACCGCTGTCAGATATGCAACAGATATTGTGTAGAAACATCAAAGTATTACGAAGGCCCACAGTGCGATTGCCGTCATTTCATTCCGGTAAACTGGTGGTCCCTCCAGTTCACGGAGGTAAATTGCGCAGATTTGACAATGTGGATGTAAATAGTTGCACATCTAAAATTACATCAATTAGCGAGCGGTTTGAACATGTCAACGCCAAATTATATGGTGTACGGAGAATTGGTTAGAGGACATCTACACATACTAATATATGACCTCGCTGTGTCATTTTGGTGTATTTTATCTTGACCAGCTCCAATTTATTTAATGATATTGTTCACATTGTAAAAAGGTTATTCCATTTATTGTTGAAATTCATATTGTAACTTCTCAAAAGTTGTGGTCTTTCCACATTGTCTGAAGAGTTCGGACATGTATTTCATTGTATATTTATGGGCGAAACTGTGTCAAGTAAACGTTATTAGTAGCGAGGATTATATCAAATGGCCGAAAATAAATACGTTTATAAATAATAACAACAACAAAATAACAAACTGCATGGTGTAGGAAACGTTTAGAAAATGGTGTATAACATCAAGTGGTCGAAAGTGTATGTATGCATGATATTTATCAATCTTAAAGAACCACTAAACTTTGTTTTTTGTTACTCTTTTAACCATTACATATGAAAGATTTGTGGTTAGTCTTATGCGGAACACCAAATTTATTCTTTAAAAACTTGTGGTTAATTAATACCGAGCGATTAAAAGTGGCCAAAAAGTCGCCTGCTTCCCTCTCGCCCGCCAACGAAACCACAGACAGGTTACGTAACTCTGTCGCCAGAGCACTGCAGTGACGTCATATGAGGAACGATTTTCAGTTAGTTGTATAGAAAATGTGTAGCACGCTCATTATTTTGATGATTTCTCGACATCAACGATGACATGCCGAATCGTTGGTTTGTCGTCAATTGCTCCTAGGGGTCGGGCGATGGTGCCCCAATGCACAGATTTCCACAGGACCCCGCAGTTCGTGCTAAATCGGTTATGTTTGTGAGTGCGAAGCGAGCGTTGTGGAAGCCTGAAACGATATCTTACTTGTGTTCAGATCACTTCACTGAAGTTAAAGAATCAAAACTACTTACTAGTTGTTGTAAAATATGCATATGATTGATGACCATAAAGATTTTCTATGACACAACTTGTAACATAACGATTTCTTCCTCGGAAGTGAGGTTGTGGTCGAAGTAACAATAATATTGTAAGTAGTATTATATTGACACCCACCTCGCTGCCACGAGAGAAATTGTTATGTTATACGCTATGTCATGCAAAATCCCATTGGCCATCAATAAAATACATATTTTACTACCAGTAGAAAGTAGTTTTGATTTTGTAACTCGGTGAAAACAAACCTAAATACCATTTATCCTCAGACTGGCGGATGTTCCCGACAGGGCGCCGCCATTTTTAAAAATCTGTTAGAATTAATGAGATTATAGTTTGTTTTCATCAAGTTAGATAATCAAGACTACTTCTACTCGTAGTTAAATATGTATTGAATCATAACCAAACGGATTTTGCATGACACAACTTATAACATAACGATTTCTTCCACGGAAGCGAGGTGGGGGTCGAAGTCACAATACTGCGCGATAAATTTCTTGCTACATTCCCATGGTTAATGTCCACTCACCAGTATGTAGATACTAGTCAATGTGCGTCTTTATATTTGGTCTTATAATCCTAATTAGTTTATTATCATACTTGTATGCATTTTGAAACTAAATAAAAGCAGACGATCTGCTGATACTTATAGTGAATTTATAACAGAACTGTAATATCTAGACATTTTATAGTTTGCCAATGTGAATCATAATTCGCACACACACCCTAGTGCATGTTGTCTGACTCATTACACTTCACGGCGAAAACAATGATTCTGTTGAATGCTACGACAAATGAATAAAATCAAAATGCAAATATTAAAATTAAAACAGATTAAAGTTATAGGAACAATATCAGGCCATTACCTTGTTCGAGGAATGTATCCATCAATATCCACAAAACTGTTCAAAATGATGTGTCTTTTAACAGTTTAATATACGAAAAAAGTGATAAATCTTTTCAGGTATTGGTGTATAGTCTCATTGGTCACCCAAGAAAGCACACCTGGCAACTAATTGCATAATGTCCGCCTTTCTTTAAAACAGTAATTTAGTTAGCCAATAATGGGAATCAATCAATGTATTGCCGGTTAATCCTTTGAAAGAAGGACGTTGTTTTTACGCAGACACCGACACGACAGAGTGTATTCAGTATAGATTAGTAAATCTACATACATAAACACTACCTTTTGACAATTCCGCTGTGTGTAAGATAAAAGTAATTAATCAATCAGCGTGTTATCGGTTAATCCTTTGATCGATGTTTATAATGTTGAATATTTACTCCAGACAGAAGAAATGCCAAATTGGAACCTTTGTCGGGTAATCTAAGTGTGTTACCACTAATTATACCTGTTATAAATTCATTAACTGACCATCAAGTGAATGATGACAAATAACATGTGTAGGTTTATACCACCTAACACGGGTTACAACAAGGGAGTATTAATTGCTGTATTGCATGTGAAAACTTATGAGCCGACACTGTTTTGAGAATACAAACAGATTTTTACATGACATGATTAAATATCGAGGTAAAAAAAAACACAGAAATGGGATCGATTTGGATCAGTCATTATACAAATAGGGCCTAACGACACCATTCGATTTTGACAAAATCGTCTATGAAAACAAGTTGTAACTCGGAAACTAGGCAAAGCAGGAGACAAAATTAAATGACAGTAGATTGTGAGAACATATAGCTTTTATTTTCCACAACAATTGTCACGATTTCAGGTTTATACAAGCCTGTAAACAAGATAATTTAACCCCTAAAATGTAGATGAATTCTGCATCGGCCCTCAAAGCTATTCCTCATATGACGTCACAGAGGCACGCCGCTCTGATTGGTTGAAATTTCGTTCGCGGGTGAGAATTGTGCACTGTTTTCAAAAAGGTCGATTTAAGTCAATTAAAGGTCGAAATGAGTAGTTTTAATGACGGGGTTTCATTTATAACGATGCCAGTTAGTGATTTATGTATTTGTACCCCTAGGGTTTATGTGACCTTTAAGCAAATAAAGTGTATCTTTACTTACTGTAGTATTCATTAACCCGTGAAAATCTGGCTTCGAATTGGTCTTCAGCAACCCATGCTTGTCATACGAGGCAACTATCGGGATCGAGTGGTCAGGTTCAATGACCTGTTGATGCATGCCATTGTATTCTATTTGCGTTGATCCATGCATTCATTTCTAGTCGAAATTCGGTTATTTACAGATGGTGAGATGCGGTAAGCAAAACTCAAACACACAAACAAACAGTAGGATTCACCATTCAGAAGGCGTGATTCCATAATGTGGTAGTAGACACTAATGTTTTAGCATGTATACGCATTGATAATATTTTCAAGCACCAATACATACTAGGCGTCATTATTAGTAATAGTAATAGTCCGCTTATATGGCGCTCATATCCAGGCACATTGCCTCGTCACGGCGCTACGTACATTACTGTCCCCGGTCATAGGACACTATCGTACTTTCCGATACTTTCTCAACTCCCTGGGGAACATACAGCCATGCTGCTTGTTAGGCGCAATGAACTAAACACTCACATTGCCAACACATTCTCACGGGTACCCATTTTACATCTGGGTGACCTGAGACAATGTGGATCTAAGTATCCTTGGACTAAGCATCTTATCCAAGGATACTACGCAAATGTGCCCACCTCGAGACTCGAACCTAGGTGCCTCCACTGGGGGTCGAACCCGGGCCTTCAGCTTGATAGGCAGACGCCTTACCACTGCACTATTGCGATCCACACTGCACTATTGCCCTCCATATTAAAGGGTGGACTGATACATAGCACATGTAAAGAAAAGTTTCTCAGAAATAATAGAAGTAAGGGTGTCATCATAACGTTTAATTTGTTGACAAACGCGACACATCGTGACATACAGACAAAAAGTTCAAACAGCACTAGCAAACATCAGTTGTATAGACCAACCCCATAAAACAGCTGCATCACTGGAAATTCAGATCTACAGCGTTTGCAACGATATCGACAGACATTGTGTTTGACATTAACTTTGGAAAAGCATTAAACTTATAGGAAAACGATGACTGGTCCCGTTTCGTCTTCGTTGACATCACTGTAGATATGTTCTGAGTTTCGGAACCTCCTGGAAGGGATACCCTGTCTATTTGGATCACTTTGTGGACGGGTGTGTGCCATCTGGTGGGATTCCTCTCTAGAACAGAAATAACATGTGGAAATCATAAATCGCAACTACGAACATTAAAACATCCGGACAATTCCAACAAGTTTTTAACTTCAGTGCAGCAGTATGCAATATAAAGAATATATTAAGAAAGGCTTCTAGAATCAATTTACAAACCAAATAATGAACTAGTTATGTACCATGGTATGGCTTTGTTGCTGTAAAAACTGTTGAAATATTGATCATGAAAATCAAATCGTTGAATGGCATTTAGAAAATCAAAGTTACATATAATCGTATGTGACCAAATATTAGCTGAGGTTCTGTTTGACATGTGCGCAACACGTCAACAAGGTGTAAATGCTGACCTCTTTGCGGAGACTCTCTTAAAGTGAAAAATGCACCCTGCTACAATGATCCCCAAAACCAAAACGAACAGTGCTGTCGCTGTTCCAATTTTTGCATCATTCATCGGGACAGAATCTGAAAAGGATATTAAACAAAACAGTTGTCAACACATATATGAATTGTATTAACCGATAAGTGGAAATTAATTCACAATTCAGAGCACATAAGTGTGCCTGCTTGCACAGATGATAATTTTGAGTTGCAAGTATAAATGCAAAGTCTGACATAAAATGAATATATACCAGTATTTCAAATTCCAAATGTGTCTTCTTTCATGGACTCTGATCTGAACGGGTGGTTGGGTAGCCTAGCGGTTAACGCGTTTGCTCGTCACGACGAAGGCCCGGGTTCGATTCTACACATGGGTACAATGTGTGAAACCCATTTCTGCTGTCCACCCCGTGATGTTGCTGGAATACTTCTAAAAGCGACGTTAAATGATACTAACTCACTCATTCGGATCTAAACAAAAGAGGAGGGAAACTTATGTATGAACCGAACCTGTATCCCCTTGTGTTCATCTTTTAAACAACAGAAATGAATTCACAATTCGGAGCTGGTTAGTCCGTCTTATTGGTTTCATCAAAGATACGTTTTGGGTGTAAGTGCATATGCGAAGTCTGATAGAAATGAATATAGGCTAGTATGACATATATAAATTCTCACATCCTATACCATTGAAATATAATCTTCATTATTCTCAACCTTGAGCAAAGTATTTAGAAATGATATTTTCATTCAGACGGGAATAATATATAAATATATATATATATATATATATATATATATATATATATTTAAGCTATTTATTCTCAGTAATCAGAGAATTCCATGAAATATAACAAATTGACATCAGTGTTTAAACGGTCAGCCGAAACAGCTTCGATCGGGAGTAAACAGCTACATCAATCAGATCTATGCATGGATCAATAAAACTCAATGATGATACCAGGCATTCGCGGAAAAGGTAAGAGCGCACAGCTCTACCAGTAGCACCCAGTTTTCATACAGGATCTGACGCCTTACAACAATACGGCACCTGGTACATCAACGAAAACCGATGGTGGTTTGAATCATTTATTAAATATGTTCCACCACAGTGCAGCGTAGAAGGTTTGGCACAGGAGGAAGGACAAGTCAACAACCACTTCTTTTGTAGTTCGTTCAGTTGCTGCTGAGATTATGAGGAAACTAGAAGCTTCCGTCAAACAGCAGAAACGATGACCCAAGTAAACACAAAGAATCAACGCCAGAGGATGACAAGTCTACTCACACATATTCCACTGGAACAAAAAGAACAAGAACAGCTGTGGAAACAATCACTGATGACACCAGTCGATCGCTCACAATGTCCTACTGTTAGCGCTAACCACGATATGTATTCAAACAAGAAATAATATAACATATAGGAATGCATTGCACTTACCACATATCCCAGTACCAGGATGACAAGCACCTCCCGGGCAGTGGATGCAGGATAGTTGACAGGATTGTCCATATTGTCCTTGGATACATCCGTTGTCACAAGACCCGTTGTTTTGGTAGCAGGTGTTATTGAAACAGGTCCTCGGACAAGGCTTACAGTCACCCCCATAGTAACCAGACAGGCATCCTTCAACACATGCACCCGTCTCATTGCAACCAAAACAGTTTGGGTTACATTTATTTGGCGAGGAACAGTGTGGGCCAGACCAGTCATCTGCACAACCATTGATACACTCTCCACTGTATCTTTGACATTCAGATATGCAGGTGTGGGAAGTGTTAGTTGTCAAAGAGTCATTAGTAATAGTGGTAGGATTAGACAAACAATCTTTGTGGCACCTTAAAGAGCATGTGCGTCCATACAACCCAGGTGCGCATGTCTGTACACAATCAGTTGTTGAACAATGTTCACATGAGTATTCACAGTCCAGGCCATGATAAGGATCATGACACACATCACATCTGCCTGTTATCCTGTTACAATGTCGACATCTGGGTGAACAATTCCTGCAGTTGGTCCCATAGTATTGGTCATGGCATCCAGAAACACAAGATGTTGTCAGATCGCAGAACGTTCCATCACAACCTTGAGGACATTTTGTGCACCTTTTCGTCGGAAGTGTGCACGGGATAATGCATCGAGTACCATAGAAACCAGGTACACAACCGTCAGAACAACTAATAGTTCCACGCAGCGTCTGACTACATTTACTTTTTATGCATTGGTTGCTGCAACGGGACTTGCATCTGAGGCCGAAATACCCCGAAAAGCAATCTGTACTGCAGTATTGTGTTGTACTTGAGCAGTTTGTGCATTGTTGGTCCTCCATGCACTTATCCGCTGTAAAAGAAGATTGGTTCATTGTAGACATAAATCATTTCTTATGTCTGATTATACTTTTGAATACAAGTTTAGATGAATGTTCATATTGCTGTTTTATTCCCCAGCAGTGCACTCAAAATTAACTCAAATCAAGAAAGTAACTAAATGACAGAATACACGAGGCCGGAAATATGTTTACACTATTTAAAAGACTGGTGTTCACTGTAAAAACACAGAATGTCATTCGTCTTTCCGACAAATGTAAATATGTTTAACTGAAGCAAAATACCCAATGAATATAAACGTTACCTTGTGTTGACAAAAGCGTCAGCACTACAATCAGTATCACCTGAATGTCCATCGCTGTCCTGAAACCATCATAACACAGCATATAAGTAAAGTAGCCTCAGATTTATCGGTTTCGTGATTTCAATTATCAGATAAATGAGAATGTCATTTCAACGGGTGTGTGATGGGTGTTGTTCAAATACAAACTTACCTGTCCACTGAGTAAAGCTTCAGCTGTCGGGGCACATGGGAGATGGAAACACTACTGAACTGATGTCTCTGGTGTTCCTGGCAACACTGAGCAAGTGCTACGTGGACGTCATGGTTTCAGTCTGGTTTCAACTTCCCGTGGCCAAGGTCGGAAAACAGCCAATATGTGCCTCATGCATACTAATACAAACGGTTGTGAAACTATGGCATTGATATCACGGACATGCTCTCTACATGCATTCCCAGATGTAATTATACTCGTACGACACATTACATCGCAGTCTCTGGACATATTTTACAGTGGCTTTGAGTAGCATAATTGTATAATGGCATATGTAGCCCAGTCGTCTAAGGTAATACCTGACTGGAAAAAATTAAGAACGATATATCATCGTAGATATAGTAAAAATGATAAAATCAGTGCTTTACAAATTGTCATCATTCCTATTGTAAAACGTGGCATCCAGTTCTGATGTGAACAAGTTACGTTTTCTCAATGAATTTCTCCATGTAGGTATAATGGGTGTGGTATCCAGTACTAATTTGAACAAGTCACATTTTACACAATGCCTTTCTCCAGGTAGGTATAGCAGGTGGGGTATCCAGTACTAGTGTGCGCAAGTTACGTTTTCCCAATACCGTTATCTAGGTAGGTATAGCAGGTGGGGTATCCAGTACTGATGTGAGCAAGTTAAGTTTTCCCAGTGCAGTTCTCTACGTAGGTATAGTGGGTGTGGTATCCAGACCTGATGTGAGCAAGTTATGTTTTCTCAATACCTTTGTATAGGTAAGTATAGTGGGTGTGGTATGCAGTACTGATGTGAGCAAGTTACGTTTTCTTAATGCCTTTCATTAGTTAGGTATTGTGGGTATGGTATCCAGTACTCATGTGAGCAAGTTCCGTTCTCCCCAAAGCCTTTGTCTATGTAGATATAGTAGGTGCGGTATCCAGGATTGATGTGAGCAAGTTACGATTTCTCAATGCCTTTCTCCGGTTAGATGTAGTGGGTGTGGTATCCAGTCCTAGAGTGAGCAAATTACGTTTTTTCAATGCCTTTCTCCAGGTAAGTTTAGTTGGTGTGGTATCCAGTACTGATGTGAGCAAATTACGTTTTCTCAATGCCTTCCTCTAGGTAGGTATAATGGGTGTGGTATCCAGTACTAATGTGGGAAATTACGTTTTGTGAATGCCTTTCTCTAGGTAAGTTTAGTGGGTGTTGTATCCAGTACTGATGTGAACAAGTTTCGTTTCCTCAATGCTTTTCTATATGTAGATATGGTGGGCGTGGTTTCCATTCCTAATGTACGCAGGTTACGTCAGCAAGTTACCTTTTCTCAATGCCTTTCTCCAGTTAGAGGTAGTGGATGTAGTATCCAGTACTGATGTGAGGAAGTTACCTTTTCTCGATGTCTTTCTCTAGGTAGGTATAGTTGGTATGGTATCCAGTACTAATGTGGGAAATTACGTTTTGTGAATACCTTACTCTAGGTAAGTTTAGTGGCTGTGGTGTCCAGTACTAATGTGCACAGGTCACGTTTTCCCAATACCTTTCTCCAGGTAGATGCAGTGGCTGTGGTATCCAGTTCTAATGTGAGTAAGTTACGTTTTCTCAATGCCTTTCCCTAGGTCGGTATAGTGGGTGTGGTATCCTGTAGTGATGTGGGGAAGTTACGTTTTCTTTTTTGCTTCCTCTAGGTAGGTATAGTGGGTGTGGTATCAAGTACTGATGTGAGCAAGTTACTTTTTGTGAATGCCTTTCTCTAGGTCGGTATAGTGGGTGTGGTATCCTGTAGTGATGTGGGGAAGTTACGTTTTCTTTTTTGCTTCCTCTAGGTAGGTATAGTGGGGATGGTATCCAGTACTGATGTGAGCGAGTTACGTTTCCTCAATTCCTTTCTCTATGTAGATATAGTGGGCGTGGTATCCAGTACTAATGTGCTCGGGATACGTTTTCGAAATGCCTTCCCAGGTAGGTGTAGTGGGTGTGGTATCAAGTACCGATGAGCAAGTTACGCTTTCTCAATACTTTCTCCAGTTAGATGTAGTGGGTGTGGTATCCAGTACCAATATGAGCAAACTACGTTTTCTCAATGCCTTTCTCAAGGTAAATTGAGTGTGGTATCCAGTACTAATGTGAGCAAACTACGTTTTCTCAATGCCTTTCTCCAGGTAGATGCAGTGGCTGTGGTATCCAGTTCTAATGTGAGTAAGTTACGTTTCCTCAATGCCTTTCCCTAGGTCGGTATAGTGGGTGTGGTATCCTGTAGTGATGTGGGGAAGATACGTTTTCTTTTTTGCTTCCTCTAGGTAGGTATAGTGGGTGTGGTATCAAGTACCAATGTGAACAAGTTACGTTTTGTGAATGCCTTTCTCTAGTTAGGTATAGTGGGTATGGTATCCAGTACTAATTTGGGCAAATTACGTTTTGTGAATGCTTTTCTCCATTTAAGTATAGTGGGTATGGTATCTATTACTGAAATCGAGCAAGTTACCTTTTCTCAATGCCTTTCTCTAGTTAGATATAGTGGGCGTGGTATCCAGTACTGATGTGAGCAAATTACGTTTCCTCAATGCCTTTCTCTAGTTAGGTATAGTGGGTATGGTATCCAGTACTAATGTGGCAAATTACGTTTTGTGAATGCCTTTCTCTAGGTAGGTAAAGTGGGTGTAGTATCCAGTAATGATGTGAACAAGTTTCGTTTTCTCAATTCCTTTCTCCAGTTAGATGTAGTGGGCGTGGTATCCAGTACTAATGTGAGCAAGTTACCTTTCCTCAATGCCTTTCTCTATGTAGATATAGTTTGCATGTTATCCAGTGCTGATGTCAGCTAGTTACCTTTTCTCAATGCCTTTCTCTAGTTAGATATAGTGGGTGTGGTATCCAGTACTGATATGAGCAAGTTACGTTTTCTCAATGCCTTTCTCTAGTTAGGTATAGTGGGTATGGTATCCAGTACTAATGTGGGAAATTATGTTTTGTAAATGCCTTTCTCTAGGTAAGTTTAGTGAGTGTGGTATCCAGTACTGATGTGAACAAGTTTCGTTTCCTCATTACTTTTCTCTATGTAGATATAGTGGGCGTGGTTTCCATTCCTAATGTACGCAGTTTACGTTTTCCCAATACCTTTCTCCAAGTAGGTGTAGTGTGTGTGGTATCCAGTTCTAATGTGAGCGAGTTACGTTTCTAAATGCTTTTCTCTTGGTCGGTATAGTGGGTGTGGTATCCTGTAGTGATGTGGGGAAGTTGCGATTTCTTTATTGCTTCCTCTAGGTAGGTATAGTGGGTGTGGTATCAAGTATTGATGTGAGCAAGTTACGCTTTCTCAATGCATTTCTCTAGTTAGGTATAGTGGGTATGGTATCCAGTACTAATTTGGGCAAATTACGTTTTGTGAATGGTTTTCTCCAGTTAAATATAGTGGGTATGGTATTTAATGCTGATTTGAGCAAGTTAAGTTTTGTGAATGCCTTTCTCTAAGTTTAGTGGGCGTGGTATCCAGTCCTAATGTGCGCAGGTTACGTTTTCTCAATACCTTCCTCTAGGTAGGTGTAGTGGGCATGTTATCAAGTACTGATGTCAGCAAGCTACGTTTTGTGAATGCTTTTCTCCTGTTAAGTATAGTGTTGATGGTATCCAGTACTAATGTGAGGAAATTACGTTTTGTCAATGCCTTTGTCTGGGTAAGTTTAATGTGAGTGGTATCCAGTACTGATGTGAGCAAGTTACGTTTCCTCAATGCCTTTCTCTATGTAGATATAGTGGACGTGGTTTCCAGTCCTAACGTGCGCAGGTTTCGCTTTCCCAATACCTTCCTCTAGGCAGGTGTAGTGGGTGTGGTATCAATTACTGATGTGAGCAAGTTACGCTTTGTGAATGCTTTTCTGCATTTAAAAATAGTGGGTATGGTATCTAGAACTGATTTCAGGAAATTACTTTTTCTCATTGCCTGTCACCAGTTAGATGTAGTGGGTGTGGTATCAAGGACTAATGTGAGCAAATTACGTTTTGTGAATGCCTTTATCCAGGTAACTTTAGTGGATGTGGTATTTAGTACTAATGTGTGCAAGTTACGACTTCCTAATGCCTTCCTCTAGGTAGGTGTAGTGGGTATGGTATCAAGTACTGATATGAGCAAGTTACGCTTTCTCAATGCCTGTCTCCAGTTAGATGTAGTTGGTGTGGTATCCAGTACTAATGTGAGCAAGTTACGTTTCCTCAATGTCTTTCTCTATGTAGATATAGTGGGCATGGTATCAAGTACTAATGTCAGCAAGTTAACTTTTCTCAGTGCCTTTCTCTAGGCAGGTATAGTGGGCATGTTATCCAGTACTGATGTGTGCAAATAACGTTTTGTGAATGCCTTTCTCTAGTTAGGTAAAGTGGGTTAGTATTCAGTACTGATTAGAGGAAATTACTTTTTCTCAATGCCTGTCACCAGTTAGATGTAGTTGGTGTGGTATCCAGTACTAATGTGAGCAAATTACGTTTTCTCAATGCCTTTCTCAAGGTAAACTTAGTGGATGTTGTATCCAGTACTAATGTGTGCAAGTTACGTTTTCTCAATGCCTTCTCTAGTAAGGTATAGTGAGTATGGTATCCAGTACTAATGTGTGGAAATTACGTTTTGTGAATTCCTTTCTCTAGGTAAGTTTAGTAGGTGCGGTATCCAGTACTAATGTTAGCAAGTAACGTTTCCTCAATGCCTTTCTCTATGCAGATAAAGTGGGCGTGGTATCTAGTACTAATACGCTCAGGTTACGTTTTCCCAATACCCTCCTCTTGTAGTGGTGTAGTGGGTGTGGTATCCAGTACTGATGTGAGCAAGTTACGCTTTCTCAATGCCTTTCTCCAGTTACATGTAGTGGGCGTAGTATCTAATACTAATGTGAGCAAGTTACGTTTCCTCAATGCCTTTCTCTATGTAGATATAGTGGGCATGGTATCCAGCACTAATGTCTGCAAGTTACCTTTACTCAATGCCCTTCTCTAGTTAGGTATAATGGGTGTGGTATCCTGTACTGATGTGAGCAAGTTATGTTTTCTCAATGCCTTCCTCTCGGTAGTTATAGTGGGTGTGGTATCAAGTACTAAAGTGA